AGAAGGCATTTTACAAGGACTTCAACTTGCGGGCAGAACATTGGGACTTGTAGCCCTTGTACTTGGTGCTACTTTGCCACAGCATTAAACAGGCCCAGGCCAACTTTCTAACAAGACAGATACTGTCTTTGGCTCAAGAGAAACTGCCTCTGCCCACGTGTGGCTGACAAACTATTCACCAGTGATGGGTAAGGCAGATGGGGCAAATATCCAACCTAAGACAGGAAGGTTACGGGCCTGGGTGACCTCTCCAATGATGGGTAAGAAATTATGCTGATGTCCTCTGTCACCTAAGACAGGTGTTAGTTTATATTAAAAGAAAGGGGGACCTGTAGGGCCCTGCATGGACCCCTGAGGCGCCTTGAGCTAGCCTGAAGCTGTTGGCCAGAACTCTTTGCCCCAAGGCTTTTGTTGGTACTCGTACCATGACAGCACACATCATGACAACACACCTTGTGACACACACCCCGTGACAACCATACCTCGTGACAAAACAGGGAGGAGCTAAGCCAAAAAATTCCTGTAACTTTCCACTGTGCTACAAGTCGGTATTTAAGCCCGTTCTTGCCCCTCAGTAAACGGCTTTTGGCGTTCTGACATTGCCTTTGAACGAATGACCCGCTGTCTTGTCTTTATTTCAATCTCTAGGCCTTCGCCCGATTTGTGGAAGAGATGGTAGCACGGGTGCTACAGGCAAATGGATGGAACTAAAGAGCACCATCCTGAATGAGATAACCAAGACCCAGAAAGACAATTACAATATGTACTTACTACTCACTGGGTATTAAACATAAATCAAAGGACAACCAACCTACAGTCCACAAACCCAGAGAATCTAGGTTAAAAAAAAAAAAAAAGAAGACCCTAAAAGAGATATACATGGATCCACCTAGGAAGGGGAAAAAGACAAGACCTCCTGAGTAAACTGGAGGCATGGAGGGCAGGGTGGAGGGTAGAATGGGAGAGGGGAGGAGGGAAGGAAAGTGGAGAAAAATGTATAGCTCAATAAAAAATAAGTAAAAGCCACATCACTAGTCTGTACAGATAAAATGTCAAAAATAAAGGGAGTTTACTTATGCATGATATAGTTCTTAATATCAAGTTTCTTTGTCTTGCCTTTCTTCAACACTGAATATATAGTTTATAAAAAGTGTTAAGGTATGACTGGGCATTGGTGGTGCACACCTTTAATCCCAGCACTCAGGAGGCAGAGATATGTGGACCTCTGTGAGTTCAAGGCCAGCCTGGTCTACAGAGTGAGTTCCAGGACAGGCTCCAAAGCATTACAGAGAAACCCTGTCTCAAAAAAAATTAAGGTATAAAAATTGAAACAACAAATGTCCAAACATCCATCTTCTAATGTTGAAAACACCAGAGTGGCCCTCCCTTGTCTGATATTCTCCTTCCTCTTTCAAAAAGGCCATTATCATCTAGAATTTTATGTCTGCCATGTCATTTTCATAAAAATTAATTTTTATCATATTTAATTCTGAAGAACATTGTTTAGGTAGAATATTTGGGAAATAAAATAAATGAAATGTATTACTGATATTCCTCTATAACTTTCTTTTTCCACTTATTTTAACATTCATGAGATCCACCTATGTAATTGTGGGCAGTCATGACCTATGTTTCTTCATTACTGTATAGTTTGGCTAATTTCTCTGAAAGAACTTAATTTCAATTCATGTGATTCTTAGTAATGGGTGATAGGGAGCCTGAACAGGCCATCTTTTGTAATGAGGCAAGGCTTCCAGCAGTGGGACTGGGTTACCAACCCAGCCACAAACTCTTTGACCTACAATTTGTCCTGTCAGCAAGATGTGCCAGGGTAAAAGTGGCACAAACCTCGTGGGAATGGCCAACCCACGATTGGTACAACTTGCAACCTATGCCATGAGAGGAAGCCTATGCCTGACACTGCCAAAAAACTAGAGACTAGATAGCCCAAAACCTACGATAGAACCAAATACAACTGGTAAAAAATCCTAATGATATTCTGCTATACTCATAGATCAGAGCCTAGCCCAAATGTTATCAGTGAGACTTCATCCAGCAACTTCTGGGAGCAGATGCAGAGACCTACAGCCAAATATTTGGCTGAGGAAACTTGGGGAATCCCATGGAAGAGGGGGAAGAGGGGTTGTAGGAGCTAGAGGGGTCAAGGAACCCAGAAGAAATGGCCCACAGATAATACATAGGGTTCATAAGAGCTCACAGAGACTAAACCGACAATCAGGGAGCCTGTATATGTTTGATCTAGGCCCTCTGTAAATATGGTATAATTGTATAGTTTGGTGTTCTTATGAGACTCCTAACATTGGGAACAGGAGCTGTCTCTGACTCTTTTGCCTCCTTTTAGGGCACATTCCCTCCTACTGGGTTGCCTCATCTAAAGGACACATTCCCTTCTACTGGGTTGCCTAATCTAACCTTAATACAAGGGGTGTACCTAATCTCATTATAACTTGTTATGCCATGTTTGTTTTGTTGACATCCTTGGGAGACTTGCTCTTTTCTGAAAGGAAAAGAAGGAGTAGATCTTGGGGAGAAGGGAGGTGTGGGGAGAACTAGAAGAGGGAGGGGAACCTGTGGTGAGGAAGTAATGTAGGACAGAATAATTAATTTAAAAAGGTAAAACCAAGAAACTCTTGCTTTTCTTTAGACCTCTCAGCTCTTATTATTTTTTCATTTATTTTACATACCGAACAGTTTCCCTTCTGTCCTTTCTTCCAATTCCCTCCCTCACCTCCTGTTTATCCCCCCCCCATCTACTTTTCCTCTGTTTAGACCTCTCAACTCTTTCACAAAAGTTAAGCATTTCTTTTTTAATCTTTTCTTCTGTTTTGTTTTCTTTGCTTATTTTAGGTTAATCATTCTTAATATGAAGTTATGAAATCTAAAATGCTCCATATTTCAAAGCTCTCTGAGCATCATACTACTACTCAAAAAGTTTCAGACTTCAAATGTTCAGATCAGGGATGCTTAACCAATGAAGTCTATGTGAAAGACCCCCCCACTATGCTTATTGCCTGTTTGAATTGCTCTTGCTAATTTGCCAAGGTCAAGTTATGAGAAAAGTAAAGGAGGGAACAAGGTGCTGTTCTCATCCAACGCCAACCAGATATCTGTGGTCTGCAGCTTGGACCAAAGCAAGGTCAGTAGGACGGTATCTGGGATGCTGAGAGAGTCATAACTGAATTCTTTGTATTCTTTGTGCCCAACCCTAATAACCAACTGTCCTTGGTTAACTACAACTGCTACATTTAGATGAAATAATGAAATCCCTGTAACCATGCTTCTGCTTCTGTAAGCCTGCTTCTTGCCACCCCAACCCTATATAAACTGCCTGAGTTTTAACCTCGGCACACTCAGTCCCCTCGAAAGACTGAAGTGTCCACAGGTACCTGTGTAAACAATAAATAACCTCTTGTACTTGCATCCTGGTCTGGTCTCTTCTGTTGGTGGCAAGGGCCTACCCCCCCTGACAGGCTCCAAACTCTTGGGGTCTTTTGGGGGTCTTTCATATGCAAGCTTCTCCAAGCCTAAGTAACTGAAATGTGAAGCATCCATTGTTCCAAGCAGTCCTAATGGACTAAGACAGATCCATACTGAGCACCTGACTTACAAGAAATAAAGACAATTCCCATCCTCAAAGCAGTTTTTCAGAAGAACACTAAATGAACATAAAATACTGATACAATGCAAATGAACTTCAGACTAACAAGGTTTTAACTAAGACCTGCTCCCTTACTTTATACATGTGTCCACTCAAATGTTATATTGAGGACTTATACTCAAAGCACATTATATACTTGCACAGATATGATCTTATGTAACCCTGCATAGAAAAAACATCTGGGCAAACTAGGCATGGTGGTAGACACCTGTAATCCAAGCCACTGAAGATTCTAAAGCAAGAGGATGATGACTCACTTTCCTTCAGGTCTTAAAGATACTTTGTCTCAACCAAGAGCAAAAAAAAAAAAAAAAAATCTCCAACTCAATTAAATAAATAAATAAATAAATAAAGTTCCTATTTTTCCAAATTAAAACCACATTTTTCCTTGTCTCTTAATACTACTTGTATCTTTCCCCTGTATTTCTGGATTAAGTTGTTACTATATCATTATTATTACTGTGTTTGTGCATGATGGGGGGATGTGTGCAATGGTACATGTATAGTGGTCAGAGGACAACTCTGTTGTGTTGGTTTTCTTCTTTCACTTTTAGGGTGGTTCCAAGGATCAAACTCAGGAAGCCACGCTTTTGTGGCAAGCACCTCTAGCAACTAAACCATCTCACTGACCCTTCACTGAATCACTTTTGTTAATTACTACTTATATAACCCTGCATATAAATCTTTTAGTAACTTAGGGACAGTGATCATAAATTTGTTTTTCATTTATATTATCTTTGTTGAGTTTATCCATCCCTAATAAAACTTTTATGTTTGGCTTTAAAATGTTTGGGTGTGTGTGGTAACATATACCTATATCCCAACTTTGTAGAAGCAGAGAAAGACGTCTTTGGTTATATGAGACTCTGTCTCCAAAACAGAATTGCTAACCACCAGTTATCTTTTTAAAGATAAAAACAGTGAGTCAGTAAGATCAGGAAAGGAGATGCTAAGTAGGTGCCTATGCACAATGCAACCACTTCAATCCAGAGCTAGACATGGTACAATCAAAAGAGAATGGATAATGCCAGGGGAAATAAAGAAGACAAAAAATGGAATTGAAGGACCTAAAGAGAAAATTCTGACCATATCATCTTGGCAAATATGAGTCCTATAATATGTTATCAAGCAACAAACTTACAAATGGTCCATCATTCATCCAGAATACACATAAGTGTGTAGATACATACCCCAAAGGCATCTGTTCGGCTCACCCTTTCTTGTTGGTCATGCTTTTGGCAGAGCAAAAGCCACAGTGTTGGATGGAACCAAACCAAACTAAATCAACTATCAGAGTTCTGGTAAGGGAAGATGTGCTTACTTGGATTTCACAGGAGAAGATGACCTCTTAGGAATGTCTTCAGGAGGCTCACATCTTCTCAGTGGGGACCCAAGACCCCCAGTGGAAACAGAAGTTGTCACCCGTCCCTTCTTCACTTTCTCCATCTGTAAGGGGCAAAGAATATGATAGCCAAAGCCTATGATTGGTACTACTTCTATAAGTTGAAAAACTATCTCAGATGGTAGTAATAAAAATTTCTTTCAGAGGGAACAATATACAGGTCTATTGTATCATGTGACATGTATCTTTGTAGAGATTTGTGATACTAGGAGATCACTGCAATCAGGTGAACCGGAAATGGTACAAAAACATACACTCTTAGAGGCCTCTGAGCCATAAGTCTGAAAAGCATGGTGTTTTCAGCAATAGGGACTTAACTTCCACTCCTGGGGTGGCAACCAATGGCAACAGCAATAGTATATAATGTTTTGGGAGTCTCTTTAACAACCCTGATTAACAATTCAAAAGAGGACTTTTCTTATGTGGTTATATATTTAGGGATATAAATATATATGTACATATACATTCATACATACTCACACATAAATATACATATACACATATATGTGTATAAGAACTAATGAAAAAAAGAAGCCATGAAGTTCAAAGAGAGCAAGAGGAAGTATATAGGAGAGCTTAGAGGGAAGAAAGGGAAGGTGGAAATGACTTAATTATAATCTCAAAAAATAAAATAATTTAAAACATTACATTCAAATAAATATAAAATATATACTTATTATAAAACCTTTACCAGAAGGTGATTTTAATATCCATGATGCCTAGTTATATAATGCAGAGTGCAAAACACACATTTCTCTCTATTTTTCCCCTGACCTCTCATAGTAGAAGGGAATGGGCATTAGGGACTGGCCTGTAGAAAGAGCCTTACTATCTTTCCATTTTTATGTAACAAGTCCTCATTTAGTCCCCACAAATGGCAAATATCTTCCACAAATAATCCATCTTACAGCAAAATCTAAGAGTCATAAACCCTAGCTCTTATTTGTTACTATCTCAGGGCATGCATGAATTTGAAAAGAATATATGCTATTACAAAGTATTCAACAGAGCTAAGGATGTAAGATAAGTGATGGACTGTGTAACACATAAATTCCTGGACTTGCTATGCAAGGCTATAAATAATAAATAAAACAAAAATGTTTAATAGTAATGCAGTAGTTTTAATATAAATTAATATGTATCAACTAATGATACATAATCAATGCAATTAATACCCCTTCTTCCTTCAATGGGTAGAACTCCATTCTCTTTCTATTTAATCATAGTGACTTGCTTTTAATGACATGCATAAGGCTTAACTCACAAGTTGGGGATTAAAGGCATTGAAGCTTCCATTTTACAACCTCTTAGATTGTTTGCTCTGGGAGAAATTAGCCATTTTGGACTCACAAGCAGATTTGTGAAGAGGCTTATGTAGTGAGGAATTGAGGTGGTCTGTCCTTCAGCATCCCTGTAATGAATGTCTTAAAAGAGGCTCAGTCAGGCTTTCAGATGACACAGCCCTGGTCTGTATTCTGACTAAATCCTCATGAAAGACCCTTGTACCTCTACCAAGCTCTCAATTCAGCTACCTTCAGTTTCAGACCCAAGGAACCTATGGTTGAAGACATATTTGTTTTTTATTTACACTGACAAGGTTTAGGGTACTTTGTTATGTAGCAAATGATAACACAAATGAGTATGGCATATATAATTTCTAAATAAATATATAGAATTGAGGATACTTGCTTAACAGCTATTTTACTGAAGTGTCCATATGACGTAAAATACATTCAAAGGCTGTTGACCTAGACCAGTTTTAGTTATATACAGAGGCAAGTCTCCTAGAACCAGAGCCTTGAGGAAGCAGAGAAGACCCCTGAAATTCTTTCTGACTTGTGTCCTCTGAAAGAAAGGTGCATCATCAAAACAGTATTATTAGTAATCTGTTACAAGGCATTAAGATTCAGGGGGAAGCAAATATTTGATAATTTTCCAAAGTTTGATAAAAAAAAAAAAAAACTTAAACCAAATGTATCATTTGAACAGTCCCTGGAGACTGACAGAAATTGAGACCCAGGTTAATGGCAGAAACAATCACACTGTCAGACAAATCACAGTACAGAAAAGAGTGAGAGAGGGTGTTTAAACCTACCTGAGAAGACTCGGCACCTGTCACGACTCCCTTCCCAGCATCTCCCACACCAGATGTAGGTATACCCTTCTTTCTCTCAATGGTCCGGGTTGGAGAAGCCTTGTATGAAGATTTGAGGGGGCTGCCGAGAGCTACATGAGGACAGGCATTGAATACTAGAGAGTTACAGCATATTAGCCAGAAAATACAGAAAACACAGATGGAAAAGGCAGGAGAATCAGGGTTGAAAAGAACATAGTTCTATAAAAAATGTAATTTGTAATCCACATTTTTAAATATGTTTTTTCTACTGTATACAGAGTAGATTTCATCTTAAATAAGACTCCCAAGATTCAAGAGTCAAGTTCATTTGAGGTGTTAAAAGTGTACTTTGGAAGTAAGCAGACTTTTCATTGTCACCTAATAGCTGTATTACCATGGGCAGGATACTTACTGTCTCTACGCCTCAGTTTCCTTGCACAGGAATAACACAGAAGTCCTGACCACTATCTTTGCAGGTTTGCTTACAAGATTGCACTTTTTCCAGTATTTAGGAGCTTAGATTTTAGGATGGTTTGTGTCATTCACTAGTGAGTGCTAAAGGCCTGTTTGTACAAATAATACATTCTAAGTGTGTGAAGTTTCTTAGTAATGGATGCCTACATTACTAGTTCCCAGTAAAAGCCCAAGGCACTGAATCTTTAGAGTGCTTCCTCAATAGGCAACACTTTAAATGTACTGTTATATGAAGCATATCCTTGACGACTGTTGTAGGAGATCCTTGGAAACTTAGACCCGGTTTCCTCTGTACGTCTCATACACTATTCCCTTTGTTAACTTGGTTGTGTGTCTTGCTACTATAATAAACCATAGCCATGAGCTATGAGTCCTCTGAGTTCTATTAATGAATCACAAAACCTTGGTGTTCTTGAGGGGGCAGAAAAAGTTACATCAGAGGTAGAATTGCTACAATGACTCCAATTAACAAAAATAAAATAAAACTAATGTTTGAGAAAAGAAGTGAACCTGTGGTACTTTTGTACCTATGGAGTTGTTGGCTATGGTATGAAATAGCAAGATGTTGTGAGAGGTGAAAATTGCCTACAGAATGTGAAGATAACTAATGAAACTCCAAGAGTGCTGCCTCAGGGGATTCCTTGGCTACTTTTGGTCGTGCTACCTAAACCGAGGTAAGAATCACAGTGATTCTAATTTTTTCCTTCAATGGAAATGGGAAAAAAACAACCTTTCCTTGGTTTTTTGCATCAGTAGGTGGGTTGGAACTGAGTACTGAAACCAGAACAAGTTTCAAAGTAATTATTTTTACTATGATTTTTGTTGAAAAATAGAGAATGAAAAGAATCAACTTCCAGAAGAGATATACTTTAGAGTTTTAAAATTTAATTAGAGACTACTATAAACACATCCCTCTTTTGGTCTCTAAACTGTGAAATGAAACATCCTGAATACTTCTGGACCACATGGGACAGGTCTCTAATGGCACCAACCAAAAAAATTCAAGCTGCTCTTCAGAACTATAATTCTGATGCAGAGCCTGGGTACATTCTTATAAAAGCTACAGTCTGGGAAAGGTTGTCAAGAAGCATCACTGCTGTTTTCTGTTAGATTTTTTTTTTAGTAGTTGTGGTTTATAACAGCAGACTTAGGACCTGACTCTACTTACTTTACCTTTTTCTAGTCCACACACCTAAGATAAACTTTCTTCTAGGTAGCTGTCCCAAGAAAAAAGAATGATCTTTTTACACTGGTCATCGGATAAATGACTAAGCTAAAATAAATAGGAAGTCACATAAAACTATTTTAAGTTCTTTGAAAATTTAGTATTTTACTTTGAATAATCCCTAAACATTGTGTATCTTTCTGATTATGCTGAATTAAATATTCCTTTATTTTCTTCTCCTCTTCCTCTTCCACTCATGAAAATATTCTATTTTTTTAGTGAACAACTGAAAAATCAAGTTTTGACTTCTGAATACAATACAAACAAAACCCAGCTTGTAGTGGCATGGAGGCCACTGTCAAAAGATATCTAAAATCTGCTTTCTAGAATTGCTCATGGAAGTTCTCTAACTTCCCAAAATGCCCATGTATATGAGCATGGATTTCTGGGTCTAGACTGTACATAATGGCATAACTGAGGAAGCTGTGATGGGGCAATTTTGATATAATTCCAATACAGTACATTAATATACTAGCTACACTTATCAAGCAGATGATCCAGAACCACCAGCAGAAGAGGCTTTGGAACTGGTAACCTCAGGTAGTACCTCCGAAATCACAGACTGAAATGAATTACTCCCACTGTACTATGCACTCTGGGGCATGGTGAGAGGCACAACAGTGGTTGATCACATTGTGGGTATCTCTTGATAATGAATCGTATGCTTCAAGTGTCATGAAGTTCTTAGCTTCTTGTTTTCCATAGGAACTAATGAGCCCTCAAGAATGGTACTTCTAGTATGTGCCCTTAATATCATAACAGGCCTCAGACCTGGAAGGTAGTCAGGTAAGCTCCAGCTTTCTGGCCAAAGGTTTGCTGGGACCAGATGAAAAGATTCAGAAGGAACAAGGAAGCAATATGGCTAAGACATACTTTTAAGGTTAATAGAATTTGATTCTATTTCTAAGACCAGGTTACCTAAAGGTTACAAGTAAAATCAATGGAACTAGCCTGCCTCATCTACTGTATGGGTCCTACTGCTTAAAGACACCATGGTAATGAGTCAATGGTGTAAACTATTCAGAAGACAGTGTTTAGAGCAGACTGTTGTTGTTGGAAAGATCAGCTCCTAAAGTGGGTATCTGAACAATAATACCTGGGAATTTAAGACTTTGTCAAGGTTCCCATCATTAGCTGATGAGTGGATAGTTTCTTATGTCTTCAAAGTATGTAAAATATCTTGTAGATATTTTACATCATCTTCAAGAGTATAAAATTTTGATATATACTGAGCAGGAGTTCACATGGTCAAAACCCTGAAAATTCAGCATCAACAAGCTTCCCTAGGGGCTGGAGTGATGACTCGGATGTTAAAAGTTAAGGCTTCCCTTCCAGAGGTCCTGAGTTCAGTTCCCAGCAACCACATGATGGCTCACAACCATCTGTAATGATATCTGGTGCTCTCTTCTGGCCTGCAGGCATATATACAGGCAGAACACTGTATAATAAATAAATAAACTTAAAAAACAAACAAAAAAAACAAACAAACAGGAGTTCAAGGCCATTCTGGAATATAGAATGAGACCCTGCCTGAAAAATCTATGCTAAAACAACAAAAAACTCAAAAATGAAAATGAAAAATAAAATCTATTAACTAAAATGTTTTGGCTTGGGGATATATGGCAATGGATACTGTTTGGATATCTATTTAGTAAATGTATGGAGATTGAAAATTAGAATACACAAGCATATAATTTAGTTGTCAACCATGATACACCATGTTTGCATGTTCATCAATGCAAAGTAATGAATTTGAGAAAATATGGAATATATTCACTAAAGGAATAACTATAGAGTTAAAAGTGTTAGGTATTTTCTCTTCAAACTCTTCCTTCCTTCCATGATTCTAGTGGTTACCATGAGTGGGCATCAATACTCAGCAGCATTATGATACTTATGGAGACTACCTACATCATGCCTCTAGAATGGAGGAATAAAATCAATGCGAGTGAATGACAATGAGGAAGGCCCACCTTCCTCTTCCAAGTCACAAACATTCTCCTGGTCATCCCTTGGTGATAATCTGACAACCTCAATAGTCTTCCAGTACCTGACCTTCTCTCATCAGTGCTTTAGGATATGAATGCTACACAAGAAGAGCCCTCTCTTTCTTAACCTATGTACAGTAAAAGGAAAAAAAATTCAGGCCTCCAATGACTCTTATGAACCTCCATTAGAACACAGAAGCTGTTACATCTACTCAGGTTCTGAAAATGGTTATGTGTCTCTCTATATATACTGTCTCCCAAATCAAAATGCTGCCTGAAAAGGTCATTCATGCTTTTCCTTTTTAAAAAAATGTGTTCTCTGCATAGATTTCCTTGGGAAAGAGAAATAGATGAGATATCCTGGGTAGACTGAGAGCGGGGAGGGGGGCAAAAGACAGGGGATGGGTGGATGGGAACATGAGAGATTAGTTGAGTTGGCAGAACTGAGGGAGAGAGCAATGAAAGAGATATCTTGATAAAGGGGGCCATACAGGATTAAGGAGAAACCTGGTAGGGACATTCCAAGGAATTACAAGGATGACCCCACCTAAGACTCTTAGCAATAGTAGTGAGGGTACCTGAACTGGCCTTTCCCTGTAATCAGATTGGTGCCTACCCTAATTGTCATCAGAGAGCCTTCATCTAGTACCTGCTGGAAGGGCATGCAGAGATCCACAGCTAAGCACTGAGCCAAGCTCTGGCAGTCCAGTTGAATGGAAGAGAGATTGTACAAGCAAGCATGGAGGTGGGGGGGGGGGTCAAGGTCATGACAGGGAAACCCACGGATACAGTTGACCTGAGCTCTTGGGAGCACATGGACCCTGAACAAATAGTTAGGGAGCCTGCATGGGACTAACCTAGGCCCTCTGTATGCGAGTGACAGTTGTGTAGTGTCTGATGTGGGGACAGTTGTACTAGTGTCTGATTGTGGGGACACTAGTAGTGGGATCAGGGCCTGTCCCTGGTGTATGAGCTGGCTTTCTGGAACCTATTTCCCATGCTGGGATGCCTCACCCAGCTTTGATGCAAGGGGAAGAATTTGGTCCTGCCTCAACCTGATCTGCCATGCTTTGTTGACTCCCATGTAAAGTCTACCCCTTCTGAACAAAGGAGGAATGGATGGCAGGTCGATGGGAGGTGATGGGAGGGAACGGGAAGAGAGAAGGGAGGGGAAACTGTGGCTGGTATGTAAAATAAATGAAAAAAGTTCTCATATTATTTCTGTTTCCATTTATAAAAAAAGGTATGCCTACAAACCATGAATGACTTCAGAGTCCCATTTTTCTATAATATCAAGTCCCACAGATAACTAATCAATTTTGTTCTTTCTGGTTAATTAATTATATTATATCACTGACCCAGCAATAGTGCTTTAAAAACGAAACAAAACAACCTTCCTCTATGCTCTGTGGAATAGGTTCTTGCAGATTGTGAGAATATCAATTCCTATCAATAATAACCTTTCTTTATAGAACAATACCACTTTCCAAATTCTTGTTAGCCAGACACTAGAGGTTAGGACAGTGGTAACATTTGCATAGGGCTTGAGAGAAGACTTTCATAAAGGGTACTGTTAAGACATTCACACCAGAAAGAAGCAAACTGGAGAGACAAGGTCTACCCATTCACTTGCCTCGGTCTGGGGAATAAGATATTGCCACGGTGGATGAAGACAGGCGTTTACTCATAGGAGGCTCCGTCTGCTTTTGCAAATTCATTGTTGATGTTGAAAGTTTGTCACATGCTGCAGAGAAATGCATTGAAGACATTGGTTTTCATATCACTGTAGCCTGTGAATTCAAATCTCAAAGTCTCCTTCCTGTCCTCATCCACACACATTCAGTGGTCTCCACTGCAGCACAGCACACTGCTTCCATCATCTTAATCTGGAAACATCCAGGCTACAACAGCCATTGGTTTGCAATTTCTTCACTGTGCTTTTTTCTCTTTAAAAGTTCAAACTCACTCAGCTACTCAGCTAAAATGATATTAATCCCACCTAGTGCTTTTTTTTGTGTGTCTAGACTTTTAAATATATCTGTGCAAACAAAAACAAAACTAACTTAACTAGACCCAGATATTTCCTAGAAATATCTAACACCTTGACTAAAACTATATGTGCTGAAACAGAATTTTTCCTGGAGGTTATTTGAGGCTCAGGTTGGAAAAAGAATGTAATTTGTAACGCGAGTTGTATTTAAAATAGCCCTAATTCCACCAGTTGCTGGTTTTCCTATTTTTAAGAAACACCATCAAAATGGCTCTTCTAGAAATTCATTAACAAAATAGTAAGGATTTAAACACCTGACACTAGATTTGTTCTCATGTTCCAGTCATTATTTTAGATTGGCTTCCAAGTTAAATCATTACAACCAACAGAAAAGTACTGGCAGTGCCTGTGAAGCTATGTCAGAACTCAAGGCAATTATGCGTGTGTTACTGATGAGAAAGCTAACTCCTAATATTTTCAAAATTTAATGTATGTTTTCAAATGAGAGAATTCCTTGTATGTGGCAATTGCTGATGACCAAGTGGCAATCTTAAGTCATTTTAATTAAGCTAAAATAAAAATATTAACATATTTTAATTGAGGATGCATAAAATACTTGAAATAATGTTTTAAATTTTAACACTCAATGATTTTTAATTACTTTAACTTTCTGGAAAAATAAGCAACCACTAGAAATTATAAAACCATCTATATAACTGTATACTTTTTCCCCTTTGCCTCAGGCTCTGATATGGTTTGGCATACTATCTAGAAATTCATCATTTGGGGTGGGGATGTTGCTCAGTGTTGGTATGCTTGCTTAGCATAGGTAAGAGCAGGGATTCCCCCAGAGAAGTAGAGGAGGAGGAGAGAGGGGAAGTGGGAGGCAATTCGTTATTTTGTTTAACATGGATTGTTTTGTGGTTTAACTTTTTAAAATACATCATTAAAATATTATCTTGACATTTTTGGCATTTTCATAAATTTTATGTCTGAGTCATTCACTTCATCTTGTTACTAGCCTTAGGTAATAATGCTCTATTCTCACCTTTTCATCGGGGAAAGACCAAATCTCAACCCATAAAGCAAACTCTGTGATACTTAATACTACCAATAATTCAATGATATTTATTCCTACAAATAATATGCCTCTCCATATTGCTGGTAAATATCACAACCCTTCTATTTCCCATTTTCAGTTTATCATTCAAATGTATAGTATTTCTAAAGTCATTAGTAAATGCAAACTAAGTTTTGTTCTTAATCTAGGTCATACGATTTTTCCATGTTTGTATCTAAAACAGCCTCTTAGAGAAAGAGTTATGCATAAAACCAAGATGTCTAATTATGTAGATTCTTCATGCTGGTACTGGTAAATTCCCTACTACTATCTCTCAAACACTTCTCCAGAAATCCATCACATTAACCAAGCTCAAGTATTCTACTTAGAAATTTGTGTGATTTTTGTTTTTTTACCAAAGTGTGATTTCTGGATTTTCACCAGAGTAATGAAACTGCTTTACTACTTGATACCTAAAACAAGATGACCAATGAGGCTGTTAAATCTCTAAATGCACAAAAGTTCAATGCTGACGAGATTTTTTAAGGCAGAAATTAGTGAGCTGAGGATGAAATGTCTCCGGGACACTAAGATGTAAGGCATGCAGCTCTAAGAACAAAAAATATATGAGAATGTTGTTCACAGCTCCAGAGAAAAAGTCATGACAGGGCAGACTGAGAAATCAATTGTGAAAGTACTTGAGACAGACACAGTGATGGAGGAGGGTGATTAGAACAGTTATCACAAAACACTATGGTATGGTGATGCTCGGGTATACCGTTGGTGGACTCGACAGCAGCTGTAGTGGTCCCTGTGTCCGAAGGGAGGGTGCTGGCTGTTAAAGTTAGAGGAAGGGGTGGGGTATTTTCTGATTCACCTACACAGAAAAAAATCAGAGCAAAGAGAGGTAAAAGAAAAAGTTCCAATTTGTTGTTGCACTTTAGTTTTTAATAAAGAAATAAGAAAAGTAATAAATTAGTTATTGCCTACTCAAAAGAAAAAAAGAATAGGTGTATTCACTGCCAAATGGCTAATAGAAGAAGATGGCAAAGTCAAGAGATGGTAATTTAATTCTTCTCTCAGAAAGAGCTAGTACACAACTCCTGCATAACAGAATACTGAGATACTATGACACCAAAAAGAGGAAAAAGTCATCCTGATATTAGTAATAATCCATACATTTAGGCATTTGAAAATTTAAAGATGATTATGAATTGGATAGTGAAGTAAATGAAGTCAAAAGAGCAACAAAAAAATCATAATGAAGAAGGAAAATTCCCAGACCTTCTTAGAGAATAACTGTTGTGCCTTTTCCAGTCATATCTAGGGCTGTGACTGTGGCTCCTGCTATTTCTCCTGAAATGAGATTATTTTTGGATCTGCATGCTTAGGCCAGCTATCACGCTCTGTATTTGTTTTCCTTGCTTTTCTTTTGCTCTTTCCCAAAGCCCAGTATTCATGCTTCAGCTATCTGATAGCAAGAAGAATGACAGCTCCCTTTATGAGAAATGCATACACACACAGGAAGCATGGCAGTTTAAGCATCTGAAAAGGTGCCTATAAAGCTGTGCACAGCATCTTCCAAATCTTGCAAATATCCCTCCATAGGGGTCCTGCAATGCAAAGACAGCATTATACTCACCATCACGTCCTCCAGGCCCTGAGGCTGGTGATCCTGCCCATGAACACTTCTTTTTCAGCTCTAACTGCTGTGTGCGCTCCAAGGACCGGCGCATCATTGCTTCCAGACGTTCCTGCCCAAATCCAAAAAAGCAAACAGCATAGAATACCAACAGAAAATAATATCAACAACTCAGCTGTACTGCAGTAATGCCTTAGTGCTGTGGATGAGTCACCAAATGGGGCTTTTTGTGCTCAGCATCCCGAATGCAGGCACCCGTGCTCTCTTCACTATATCAGTGCCTTTTGGTGGGTGGAGCATAAACAATACAGCTAGGCTACTTCTGGCTTCTCCAACCAAGACAGTGAACACTGTGTTCTTTCCTGTACCCTTCCCTCTCCTCCCTGGAGAGAAGCTGTTGCCATGCCAGCTTTTGATTTGCTTATGAATAATGCTCAATAAGCATTAACTCTTTCAAGCCTGTCTCAAATCTGACTAAGAGAAATGTTGTCCCAGTACCAAATATAGCCTTTCTAATTGAAAACATGAGAAAATTTAAATTAACAATTTCACTTTTCAACCTTGTATATAGCTTTTGAGGTCAGCACTTGACTTTGAAACATTTTATTAAGCCCCATTTTTATCTTTAAGCTTCTTTTTCTGCATTGTAATACTTTTCTTCTCATATTAATCTTAAGATAATACGCCACAGTCCAAGGTTTGACAAGGGTACAGAAGCTTCTGACTACAAAAATACCCAATGTCTTGCCACAGTTAGGTGTAAGTCTGTAGTTGGGGTGGTGGCAGTTACTAAGTAATTTTTAACTAGAAAATAAAGTTACCAGGCTTCTCTCTTAAAGGAGGATTTATCTAATTACCCATATATTAAAGTGTTGCTTTCATAAACTTGTTCTTGACAATGAAGCAAAGTGTTTTAATTCTGCAGCCACATTAGCTCGATGACAATGCAAATACCAGCTCTAGTACCTATGTCAGGTGGCTCACAACTACCTATAACTCCAGCTCCAGGAGAATCTCATACCCTTTTCTGGTCTCCACGGGTCAGATACTCCTGACATACATATAAATAAAAACCAAAATAAAATCTTTTTATAAAGTGCCATAATGATCAGTATTTATCCCTAGGATAGGAATGAACTTTGGGAGACCATTCCACATAGAGGTATTACTCTCTCAGACTAGACACATGGGGCCTAGGCCCTGCTCCAAATAATATGACAGACTTAGAAGATCTCTCATGGAAGGTCTCACCCTCCCTGGGGAGCATAAAGGGGATGGGCTGGGGTTTTTGTAGGGTTATAGGGAGGATGGGAAAGTGAGAGAACTGGGAATAACATGTAAAACAATGTTGTTTCAAATTTAAATAAAAAAAATTAAAAAATATTCTGGAAAAAATAAAGTGCCATAATGAAACCCATTAGTTTATATTGTATATATAATATTGTATACTGTATATATTGTATAAAACCTAAATACTATTTAATAATAATAAATAATAGTAAATTAAAAGGCAAGTGATTACAAAAGCAAATGTGGTATGTGTATACAATGGACTTTTTAAAGATTTATTTTTTATTTTATGTGTGTGTTTTGCCTGAAGGTACGAAAGAGTAATGTATGTGTGCCTGGCACACATGAAATCCAGAAAAGGGAGCCAGATTCCATTGAACTAGAATAACATACAGTTGAGAACCACCATATAGGTGCTAGGAATTTAATCTGAGTCCTCTCTGCAAGAGGAGCTATCTTTCCAGCCCCACAATGGAGATTTATTTAACCATAATGAAGAATAAAATTATGTCACTTGTAGGAAAATTGCTAGAACAAAAGATTATGATAAGCAAAACATGCCAAAATCAGAAAGACACATTTTTCTCATACATGTAACAGATTTCTATATCCAGTCCCATAGTCAGCCAAAGTCCCTTTAGGAGTGGCCAGATTTCATTGGAGTCAAGAAATAGAGTAGTTCTTTCTCTAAATCCCCCTCTTACAGGGCAATTAGTCAAGAAGCTATATTGAATGAAGAGTAGGTGAGCAAACTTAATTGTCCACCAAAACTTAAGGTGACAAGAACTTGTTCTAGCAGCTCAGTTATGAAGGTATGTGGCATATGGAATGCTTTAGGAAGCGAAGGTGACTTCTACCAAGCATATTTGATTGTTCAAGGACGTGTTCTCAAATGGACAATGGACGTGGCTCCCTCCATAGGACAACTGCTATCATTCCTATACTCCTGTCAATTCTCAAGACCTCCAAGAGTCAGGGTATTAGTTTTTCCTTATAGAAAATGGAATATCATGCCAGATGATCTGATCTTGATGTATTTGAATCATTAGTGGTTTCACTTCAGGATAATTTGTGAAATTTGGTTCTGTACATTCTTAAACTCCTAGTGTGTTACTAAGGGCTATTGAAATCACCTACTTTTGTGTTGGGACATCTAAGTTTTGAATAACATCATGACCATTACAGGAATATGAAACAAGGAAGGACTGCAAGGGAAAGAGGAGCTGACATATTAATGATGATCTAAATATCAGACCCAGAGTGGTAAGACTCCTACAACATTTTTCCATAGGCTAGAGAAGCAAAATTGTGTATATCAGATGGATAATCTTTCCACTGAAGTGTTTTCTTAGTTGACAGAGACCAAACATGACAGAAAGAACTTAAATTTAGTACCGAGGGGGAAAATTAAGATTCTAGAGCCAGGTGGTAAGTATTCAACAGCCCTCATTGAGATTTATAACAAAAACAGAGTTGATCACAGAAGGCTTCCTTTTGAGAACTTCCACAGTGCAGAGCAATCCAACTGCCCTAAAGATAACGAATGAAAACACTGTTTTTGTATCAGCAGTACACGAACCCTGATGCAGTTAACTGGTTAGCCTATGTGTGGAAAGTTCCTAAGGTACACCTGGGTATCCTGAGGCCCTGAGGGTGGGAGCAGTTGACAAAGGCAAGTTTCTGCTTTCTTGGGTTGCCACACAACCTTCCAAAGCCCAGTTTTTATTTATCATCGACCTGACCTGCTAAAGTTGTGCCATGTAAATCCTAAGAAGAGAAAAGTAATTTCAGGTTGTGTTCATGTTGACATGACATCGGATTATATCTTCTATTACACTGTGGATAAAAGAAATCACAGAACCAGAAAACATCCAGATGTTAAACTACTAAAGGTTAAGCTGTATCAGGACCAACCATCTATCTAACATAATACACCCTCATCTACAAGGAATATGAGACTGACTACATTAAGTGATGTTTTATAAAAGAAAATTATGCACAGGAATTGCTTACAAAGTGGACCCCTGTGACACTGCAGGATGTGCTGAAGCATGAGAAGCATCTAATGCGACACTTTATACTGTTCCTTTCTGGAAGAATTAGTTATAAGATTTCTCTTGAATCAGCAATCCAGCAGGATGTCAAGAATTAAAATAGGAAGGCCAGGGAGAAAGGGGACAAATTCTAAGTCATCAAGGAATGGAGGATGGGAAAGGAAGAAAAAGGGCAAGTCCAATGACTCATGAAAAACATACAGGCTAAGAATGGATAATCTATTTTAAGTTAAACAAACAGCTTCTCATATAATGCCCCCCCTGCCAAAATTGAGGACTGAACCTAGGGATACACATGTGTAAGGGAAGTGCTATATCACTGAGCTGTACCTTCAGCTGCTTATTTGTTTTATTTATTTTTGTTTTACATATCGATCCCAGTTCCCTTTCCGTCCCTCCCTCCCTCTCTTCCACCCTCCCATGCCCCCCACCACACTCCCATTCCCCCACCCCACTCTACAGGTAGTGTGATACCCTCCTGGAGGGGTCATCTAAATCTGTCAAGCCATTTGGAGAAGGGACTAGGCTTTCCTTCCTGCCTCTAGGTTAAGGAAATATCCCTACATGGGGAATGTGCTACCAAACTGAGACCCATGTTCAGGAGGTCTGAGTCAGTCCAATGCTAGATTCCCAGCTGTCAGTCTGGGGGCCCATTAGCACCTCCTTGTTCAGGTCAGCTGTCTCTGTGGGTTTCTGTAGCCTGGTCTTGTCCTCCCTCTCTGCAATTGGATTCACAGTTCAGCTCAGTGTTTAGCTGTGGGTGTCTGCTTGTTTCCATCAGATACTAGATGAGGGCTCTATGATGGTGGATAAGTTAGTCATCAATCTCATTATCAGGGAAGGGCATTTATGGTAGCCTTACCACAAATTGTTAGTTGGGGTCAGTCTTGTAGGTCTCTGAACATTTCTGTAGAGTCAGATTTATCTTGGAACCTATAATGGCTCCCTCTTTTGTAATCTCTCTCTCTCTCTCTCTCTCTCTCTCTTTTCTTTCATCTATTCCTCCTCTGACTTAATCTTCCTAGTCCCAAGTGCTTTCCTCTCCTCTCCTTCTGTTTCTCCTAGTCCCCTCTCCACTCACTGCCCCCCACCCCCAATATACTCAGGAGATCTTGTTCCTTTCTCCTTCTGTGAGGGACCTTGTATGAAACTCTTAGAGTTCTCCTTGTATCCTAGTTTCTCTGGGTATGAATTATAGGATGGTGATCCTTTGTTCTATGTCTAAAATCAATATATAAGTAAGTACATACCATGTTCCTCTTTTTGTGACTGGGTTACCTCATTCAAGATTGTTTCTTCAAGTTCCATCCATCTGCCTGCAAATTTCAAGATTTCATTGTTTTTCTCCGCTGGGTAGTATTCCATTGTGTAAATGTGCCCACATCTTATTTATCAATTCTTCAGTTGAGGGGCACCAAGGTTGCTTCCAGGTTCTTGCTATTACAAATAATGCTGCTACACACATAGCTGAACAGATGTCTTTGTTGCACGGATGTGGATCATTTGCCTAAGAGTGGGTTTGCTGGGTCCTGTGGCTGCACAGGTCTACACTCCCACCAGTAGTGTAAGAGTGCTCACCTTTCTCCACATCCCCTCCATAAGCTGTCACAGGTGTTCCTAATTTTAGCCATTCTGGCAGGAGTAAGATGGTATCTCAGAGTTGATTGGCATTTCCCTCACAGCTAAGGATGTTGAGCACTTTCAGTCAGCCTTTTTGATTTTCTCTATTGAGAATTCTCTCTTCAGTTCTGTACCTCAATTTTTTAAT